AGAAAGAATATAACTCTTAAGGAAATTATGAATGTTATACTTGTTAGTTTTGATGCACCTGATAACCTTTGGGGAGAAGCCTTGGTTATTGTATGTCTTTTACAAAATTGAATACCCCATAAGAAAACTGGTAAATATCTAAGAGTTCCATGTTTTACAACTAATATGAACAAATAGGAAAAATCTTTCATGGGGAAAACTTAGGGTTTCACAAAAGTATTTGGCAGCTACTCCATGCTATAATTGCGCTTCCTCTTTGCATCTCCATCTTCAATTTGTGACCCATCTTCATCCTCAATCCAAAAGGGGCAAAATCACCATTGATGGAGATTGAAGCTCAAAGAGGAGAAGGGAGAGCTTCCCAGCACCCAAAACAACCTTCAAGGCCCTCTCCCAATTGCTCTATGTGAAGAATGAAGTATGGGAGCAGAAAAATCTCGAAAACCTCTACGAAAACATGACTAAATACCCATTTTTCGTGTTTATGGACTGATAGACTCACCCAACGAGCATCAATTATTGTCCAGTGAGCTAGTCAACTTGCCTAGCGAGAAAGTCAACTTGCCCAACGAGAAAGTCAACGAGCCCAGTGATAAAGTCAACTCGTCTAGTGAGTGAATAGTGTTGGTCAATGCATGAACAATGTCGATCAGCGTGTAAACAATGCCATGTGAATAATGAACAGTGCCATCAAAATTATTATGTTTGCTCATTGTGTTCGTAGCACTAAACGTGACTTTTGTGGCACCTAGTGCGAATATTCACTTAAAATCCATTTTTTGTTATCTAATCATGCTTTCTTGAGTTCCAAACTGTTTTCCTCCGCCAAAATTGTTTTTTATTTTCTTATTTAACACTCAAAGAGAGATTAGAGGTAAAAAAATCATATACTAACTACAACACAAGAAAACATGAATAAATTTGGAAATAAAACAAGGTTAAAGCTATGAAAGAGTTGATTTATTCACCAAAATATACACACAAAAACACATAAAATCAACTGTTATGAAATAGTAATAAGAGTTTTTCTTCTTTTTTTTCAATCTTAATTGTTTTCCATAATATTTATGTATTTATATTATTGAATCTAACCTAATATCTATTTGTTTATAGTACTTTTTAGTGTTTAAAATTTCAAAGAAAAGAAAAGTTTATAAAAGTATTTGACCTAAACTATAAGATTCCATAATAGTAAATATAATATTTGATGGATGAAAAACAAAATTAGAAGGCCTTAGCCATAGACGTCTAAAATGTGTAGGATGTTTATGTCAATTAGGGCTAAGACATAACTGTATTAAACTATAAATTATGTATAGTATATTATACTATAAAATTTAAACTATTTTAGAAAAATGAATTATATTATTTTGCGGTTTAATTTAAAAAAGCTGAAGTTTTCTATTAGCAATTCAGTTAACTATTTCAAACTATGAAAACATACAACGGTAACCAAAACAAACTATGGCTCCACCTAGCATTGGAAACATACAAAGAAATTGCATGTTCTTGCTTGCTTTATAACACTTAAAACTTAAATAAAATTTAATTGCATAGGTTACATTAACAAATTGATCAAGAAAAACCTTAGTCAAATCTATCCATGTAATTTTTAGTAAAAATAAATATTGAAATGAAAAATAATAATAAATTAGTATGATATATAATTATGGAATGTAGAATATACAAATATAAATTAATACAAATGACTATGTTACATATTTTATTTTATGAAAAAAAATAAATAATCCATACCAATTTGTAAATCGTACTAAATGTGTCTTTTCTTTTTTCTCTTAAAACTGTTTTGTAATAAGTTTTAAAATTTAATTTAAATTTTTAAAGTATTTTTTTTTGTTAAACTAACACTTAAAACTGTTTTTTTAGAAATTCAATTTAGAATATATTTTTTTAAAATTGTTTTTCAATAAGTGTTATTTAATAAGAAAACAAATACTTCATTTATTTGAGTTATGATAAAAATGCGTTTTTCTTGTATGTTTGCGATCTGAAGTGAAGTCGCAGTTTGCTTTGATCATTGTTATATGTTTTTACCGTTTAAAACAGTTAATTGTTAATAGAAAAGTTCAGTTTTTTTAATTGAATTGTAAAACAATATAATTCCGTTATAATTTAGTTTTTATGTATAATATAATATAGATAATACAGTTAATGTACAATATAGTGGTAAAGGCATGTGTTTGTTTTGTTTTTTATTTTTGATAAGCAAATACACGTTTCTGGTTACGGAGGGAGAAGGTTTTGAGGTGGTTTAGTCTGGTGTAAGAAAGTTTGGTTAGTATATGACAAGTGTATTAAATTATCATTCACATATATTATTTCCATTTTTTTTTATCTTCCGCAGGCATTTCTTTACATTCATAATAAACAAGGAGTAAGATTTCTTATGCACATTAAAAAAAAAGCAGTTAAATGTCAGTTTATTTCATCTTCGCAATGCAATAAATTTAGCACATGTAATAAATGATAATGATTCTAAGTAAGGTTTTAAAAATGTTAAAATATTTTTAATGTATAAATTTTGAAGTGAAATTGGAATTCAATTTTTTTTTAAACTTTAATATAATTTGGTTTTCAAACTTTATAAATGAATATATATCATTTTTCTAATACAGTTATGTTAAATTTTTTAAAGTATCAAATGACATTTCAAACTAATGTTGTTTATACCATTTGACACATTCTAGTTTGTTCAAATATTAACACAATTAGATTAAGAAGATTGATTATATTCATCAATTTTTAAAATTTAAAAATAAAAATATATCAAAATTTCATATATAAATTAATGTCTATTTCATTTCGGGTGTGTTTACTTGAGGGAGATGATTTAAGAGAGAAAGTATATAAATTTAAGGAGATTTGAGAGTAAATTATGTATTTGTTTTTTGGAGGGATTAGAAAGTAATTAAAAGTGAATTTGGAAGTAAAGTTTCTAAAAGTTTGGGTATGATTTGATCAATGTGATAAATAAAAAAATGTTTTAATGAATAGAAATTGCAAATTGTCCCTTAGTGATAATAATAATATAAAATAATATTTATTGATATCATATTTATTGATAAAAAATATTTTAATTAGTAAAAAAATCAAAATAATATTTTATTTAAGTAAAGTCAAATTATTTTGTTTAAAATTTAATTTTTTAACAATATAATTTAATCAATGTATTTTTGTTGCATAAAAGGGAAGTTGTTCCATATACTTTTTCGATATAAAGTCAAGTGACTCAAGTGTCACTTTGGATCCAAGTTAACATTATATCCACCTCATCTTGGTTGCATTGGTGGCTACATAAAGTTGAATAGATAAGGTCTTGTAACCAAATACACAAAGCAGGAATCGGTTACTCAACCACATTGGAATCGATTATATGGTACCTTTGCAAAGTTGGAATAGGATACGTGTGGTTTGGAATTGATTCCATTTGCAAGTGGAATCGGTTACACTTGTAGTGGAATCAGTTATTCTACTCTTCAACCTCTATTCATTCACAACATCTCTACAACTTTTATATTGGACCATGTTAAAGACATAAATTTAGAATCAAATGTCTTACCTTGGAATCGATTTCAACAAGTGGTTATATTTTCGTACATACAAAGTTTGAAATTATCAAACTATAGGAGGACAAAGATAAAATTTCGCATTAAATCCCTTCGAATATTTGCATATTATTGGATGATAAAAAAAAGTACATATCTCGTAAATCACTGTGTTTTATTGTTTTCAATTTCCTCAAAACGAACATCATTTTATTCTTTAATCTGTTTGTGCTAATTAGCTTGAACAAAAAATTACTTGGAAGCGACCACAACCTTCAAGTTTAAAGAATAAAAATATATTTAATCTTTTAAATTTTATATGGAAGGATATGTTATTGTAATGTTGGCATATAGGCATTCACACTTCTCCCAAATGCACCATTGTGATGTTAAAATGGTAAAAGAATGTTGAGTAGCAATGGATCCACTTGCATCCAAGAAGGTGATCCTTCCTACCTTTAGTTTAAGGCAACTTGTTAATAATATCTTTATTTATTAAAGTTTCAGAATTAATATGCAGATAAATATATGATTTTATTATGAAAACCTAATAATAATAATTATAGTTATAAGAAACATGTTGAGATAAATGGGTGTAAGAAATATATTCTTAATTATAATAAAAAAATGTGGTAAAATTCGAATGTAATTCACATTCAAAGGAGGACTATTTAGAATAAAAAGCATAATTTAAATGTAAAAATGAGAAAATTGAGTAGAATATATAAATTATATTTACAATCAATTAAAACAAACCTGAGTGAAGAAAAATAATTAATTTTTAAACAAATCTTCTAGTAATAGAATTAATATGACTAATCAATTATATTACAATCAACTGCAAAACACTGGTACAAAGACCCTACTGATAAATTTGATAGCAGAATATGTAAGCTACATTGATTGATGTATATGATCCTTCACATTTTGAAAACAAAATTTATCGCAATTTCCAAATAATGACATTCTTCACAAGAGAATTCTATATTAGAAATGTGTATCTTAATAGTTAAAATAACTAATTAAATCTTATGAAGCAAACCTAAAAATTGAGATAAACATTATTTAATTTATATTTTACCCTTTTGTTAAAGTTGAGTCTAGAAAGTGTTTAAGCAAAAATAGGTATGGACTCATTTAATGTCAGGTTAAGAGGTGTCTGACACATACTTAAAAGATGTCACATTATTATTCTAGAAAGATATGAGTAGTACCTACATTAACAGTTCGTGAGACAATATATTACAATTTCCCAAAATGAAATATTTATCAATTTTTTACATGCTGAGAGTCTTTGAACACAGCATTCAAACTCAACCCTTGAGAAATCTGTGAAGAGTTTTTCTCCAGTTTTTCATAGTAAAGTTACCAAAAGAGAGATGTATCCCTAACATGGAAAAAAATTGATTAACAAGAAACATTCAAAACTATATCAACATAAAATTTTCAAAGGAGCATCTGAAAAATAAAGATGGAAGACAAATACTCGAATTTCTGGTAGTGATCAGAAAAATGGTTGCCTAATACATTTTTTTCTCAGAAAAAAAGGTGCAAAAAATATCCTCAGTATCAGTTAAGCTGTACAAGAATATTCTGCTAGGTAGCTTCTTTGTCTAACCAGCTCGTGAAGGTCATGAACAATCTTGAACACAGCGTCTGGCCTTGCCAGCCTCAATGCATTTTGTGACATTTGTTGTAGCTCGTAGGCCTTAGGACCAAACCAATCGGCAACAATTTTTGCTATCTGTTTAGGAGATTTAGAGAACTTTCCGCATCCATTTTCAACTACATAGGGGACATTGCCAGCTTCCTGAAAATGAAAATCCACCATTTTATCAACCATGAAGAGGATTCACGTAAACTCAAGCTAAAATCCATAGTTTCTACATTTTTCATGGAACATATGCAAGTTCAGACAAGTACACAAAGACGCAGTAACATAATCATAATGTTTACTCCCTCTAAACTAGCTATCAAAAAAGGATTTGTTAACATACATTTGTATATTTTAGGAGTATTTTAACAAGTTATGCCTTGGATTTTTTAATATAAACTCATGGTATAGTTTGCTAAACTACTTCTTTTGAAAAACAAGCGTACCTTAGGCAAATCCTAATAGGGTTGCTAAAGTACATTCACTAGCCGGAATTTCAACAAGTTATGATCTTTCGTTAAATACACTCAGGAAATTGTTTAACTTCTGGTAGCAAACAGTGGGAACACGTTTAACAAATCCCTATATGAAAATGCATGGATAGAACAATTTAAATAAACACTTGTGAGAAAGATTCCTTCCACCTCTTTATTATTGTCAACTAAGCCCCTAGTTAGAGCTAATATATCTAATTAAGTTCTAGAACCCAGTTTCAAATTTACTCCAATAACACAATTGAATCAGCTGGATTTCTAGTACAAAAATCACAAGGTTCAGGAACCATAGCCATAACCAGAATACCTGTCCAGCAATGTAATCATTCAAAATAATAGGGAGGCCTCTGATCTGGGCTTCTGCAATCGTCCCTGGACCCGCCTACAAAAAGAGAAAAACCCATCAACTGCTGCCATAATTAGGTAAGAAAACCTTAAGTCAGGATTGAGGGATCAAACCTTTGTGATGATGCAATCACAAGCTCCCATGCATTCCTCCATTTTGGTAACAAATCCCTTGACCTAAATATGAGTAAATTAAATCAGGGGCGACTAGACAATGCTGAATAAATAATTGCTATGCTCATCAAGAAATTGAATTGCCACCGACCCCAAACAAAAAACTTAATAGGGAAGTTTCACACCTGAAGTTTTCTACATTATCTAGTGAAAAGAAAAACTAATATTACCCAGGGTCCTATGTATAAGACCCTTTTTAACTAATTCACAATAATTAAGAAAACTGCTTGTCCTCAACCAATGGCTCCCGTGCAATAATATTTCCAGAGTGACCATGGTTCAATTGGGTTGAACCAATGAATGGTAAATCAATATTTTCACTAGTTCAATAACCAGTCTAGTTTTAAAAAACATTGCATATGAACAATCTGATTCTAAGGCTAAATACCTAGCTCATCGTGCAATACACTAGCAAAAGGCAATCACCATGGACAGGTAACAAAGTTAACATTTAAGCCTATGGAGGAAATGCCAACGATGATATAGAGGGTGCAACAAAACTAGAAAGTATATTGGAATTTATATTTGAATAAAAAAAAGATTAACAAGGTTCTGGAAATATTTTAAGGGTAACAATACCTGCACAGGAACCTTCCAATTAATAGAAGTCAGTTTGTTAAGAAGTTTCTTATTCCGTCCACAGATCACTAGGATCTGACCTACAGGGGCCCCAATATTCTCGTCGTATAATGAATCTCCAAGTGCTCGAGCAGTAGCCTCAATGGGACCCATACCTTCCCCTCCCCCCATCAATAATACAGCAGGAAGATCCTCATCCATCCCTAGATCTCTCCTTAGTTCATCCTACAACATAAAGTAGAGAAGGCCAAAAAATTCAATACTACCTAATGCACTAACAGTGATGTAGTGTTCCTTGTGACTTCTATTTTACAGGGTTAATTATCTCAACCTTTGTTGGGTTAGTTATTAGAAGTTTTTACACCTACACCCTTCTATTTTGATAAACTCCACCTAACACATTGCTTTGTTATTTATTATAAGACTTTGTGTGTAGTTTCCATAAAAGTAGGGGAATTAGGTATAAAGTCTCAGATAGCTAATGGAATTAGAACAGAAGCACAGTAACAAGTAGGTACTCTAATTTTACCAACAAAAAGACTGTCCAAATATTAGCCTTAACCTCATAAATCATTTTTACTAGCCCAAATTTAAAACATCCACACTTCAACAAGCAATTAACTGAAACCTGAGACCATTTGAAAATAAAGTGTATTGAATTGTATGTTTGATGAAAAAGGAATAATATTGAAACCAGATCAGATCCAAGTTTGTATAATTAAAGTATACATAATACATTCTTATATATGCATCAATTAGTTACAAGTATAGCTGTTATGATGTACACTAATTGAAAATTTTAATACTTGACTACAGCCTGTAGTAATAGAATCAGAGAACCCACACAGAACACCAAAGCTGATAATTTTAGTTTATCATACTACACATTTGGCTGTCGCTTAAACAAAATCAAGGGAAAAACTTACACTTTACAGGCAATCATTAGAAAAAGTGTGTAGCACTGTTGACATGAAAATGGCTATTATCTACTTTCAATGACTTCAAAACCCAATATAAATTACTATTCCTACTATCCTATCACAGGATTTCAAACAGTTCAGAGGCATTCATTTGATAATAGTATATATAACACATCATCCCGTGTCACAATTACAGAATTGTTAGTAAACTTGCCAATAATTCAAGTAATGGCTATAAGAATGACACCTTTGGCCGGACAGGCTTAACAAAGGAAGGCCGGACAGGTAGACCAAAAATCTTTATTTGGGATTGCTGCAATCCTGCTTTCAATGCCCTTTGCGCAACATCTGTCGTAGGACAATAGCATCTAGTTACGAGCTTATGAAACCTAAAGAAAACAAGAAATAGGACGTCAAAATAAAATTCTAGATAGATAATATTTTTTGAAAAGGAAATAATAAAAAAATAGAACTAACCACGTTGGATGGCATGTGCTTAAATCTGTGATAACTGTAGTAAAAACAATCTTATCTAAAAGACCCTTTGACCTCAAAATTCGAAGTGGAACGTGCTGCATCAATGGATGCACACTGATTATTATATCTGGCTGATATTTCATTAGACCTTTAGCAACCTCACTGTAAAAAGAGAATGGATGGTTTAACTATGACATGCGATGTTATACTGTATTTGAGATGAGATATAAAGGGCATTAATGAATGTGATACTGCATATGCGCAAGGAACCATATTGTGAAACAAAAGATGCAGAAAAGTTAATGAACATTGGGAGCTGTAAGTAACCAGAGGTCAATCTATCCAGATTACAGAATAACATTTACAGAACATGAATACCAAATTAGAACCACCCTGAAATACTACCAAATTACCATACTATCTTTTTCTTGAGAGAATCAAGTAATATAAAATTATGCTTTAACCTAAATAAATATGGAAACAGAAATAAATGAATCAAATCAAGCACAATCTATTCCCACAACTACAAAAATAATGAAACTATTATTGTATAACTTATAAATTTAATGATCAAAAGAAAACTTCCAACTAGAAAGACAGGGAGAATGCTATACCAGTATATGCATGGAGCCTGGACTAGCACATATGCATCATTTTGCATACCTATCAACTATATTCAATGAATGCATCGGTTTTCTTACTCATTGAAGTAATTTGTCAAAAAATAAGAGTAGGAATTGTAGCATGAAGGCAACCAAATCCTCACCGAGCTATGAAAGTTCCAGTTGCTGCAAAATTAGACTGGTGCACAACTCGTGGGGCAGTTCCATAGTAAGTCATCTTCCACAATGGCCCGTGCTTCACCAAAAAGCTATAGCTCCTGGGAAGTTGGTTGAACGGCCAAGGTGTGTGATCAGCCCACAAATCAGTAACGAAAACCTGTACCATGAACCCCAAACTGAGAACACAAAACCTGACAAAAAATATACATACATTCACGCATCCTTTCATGTGATTCCCCTCTAACCTCCCATCACCTTAAACAAGCAACCATTCCTAAAGTCATCATCATTAACTCGCAATTAGAGGGTATTTGGAAGAGCTTCTAGACAACATATTTGAGCTCAGTCAAATGACATAACTCAAACTCTTTTTTCTGTGTGGGAAACCACAGGGATCCTCCAAGGGAGGATGTCTTGCTTAAGTTACGTAGAACCACTGTGAGCAATAAAGCTCTCTTTCAACCAGTATTTGAAGCAATTCAATACGCAGAGCTAAAAACAAGGTCGCTGGTGTGGTTAAGCGCAAACAACCTCCATTTCAAGTTGATATACATGTTTGGTAATCACATAAGCACTTTTTATAACCTCTCATCACCTTAGAAAGGCAAAATATCCAATTTGGTCCTAACGCTATCATCATTAACTTACAATTAAGGGTGTTTGGAAGTGCTTCTAGACAACTTATTCGAGCTTATAAAAATGACATAAAACTCATGTTAAACTCTTTCTTGTGCAAAATCCACATGTATACTTCACACAGCACAATCTTCCTCGAGCCAGGTAGAATCATTACAGGCCACAAAGTTCTCTTCTTTTTCAAGTATTTGAATGAGTTGTATACCCAGCACTCAAATTCTGAACTACTAAATAAGTGGAAACAACCTTAAATCACTCATGAGCTCAGTGATACTCAAACTCTTTCTACGTCATTTCAAGAAGATTATTTTTACTTAAACTAAACAAAAACAGTCATCACAATTTCCCCCCTACTTCTTTTAATAAAGAACATCTCATACTATTCCCATTGCATAAAAAAAGAGTATACCAAACCAAACCTGGTAATCATCTCCAAATTCTTCATAGAAAGCAGCCTTGATAGCTTCAGCGGAAGCTCGATGCCCACCACCAGTGTCACTCATCAAAATCAAAACTTTTTTGGGCCTCTCACCCCCCACGCCATTCCCGCGAAGCCCCTCATTCTCCACCCCGCCACACTCATCCACTCTAACCCCACTTCCATCCCCGTCCCCGTC